CCATCAGATTATGATCAATTAGAGAATTTTTCATTATTATGTGCCAGTATTTATTTATTTATTTAAAGATATGTTTATTACAAATGCTGTTCGAGGATATACATTATGTGGATAAGTTCTTGCAGAAGTTTATGGATAATTGAAATAGCAATAAGAAAGTATTAATTTATAAGTTCAATTTCATGTATTGACGATAATTAGTAGAGAAAGATTCATAGAATTTATAATTTTTCTTGTTATCTACATTAAAAGAACATATGCAAACAGATAATGATCCACGTATTCGTCAATTGCTTATCGAAAGTTTGATGAAATACAATAGTAATGAAAAAATGTTTCAACAAGTTGAGCCAAGTCGAATAGGGTTCAGATACAGATAATCAATAATTATACTATAAGTCATATAGTTAAAAACAGTTCAACGAGGTTACTCTCATTCCAGTTTTACGGTGACACAGATGGATACATATTCTGAAAGCAATTACTTGAAAAAATAGTTGTCCTTGAGGATTTTTTTTGTAAAATAATTTGTTTTTTTTTCTATATGTTTCTGATTAATCATATTTGTATTTGCGATGATGATGATGAGCAATGTTGCTGTTCCTAATAAAAAGAAATGCATATTTTCAAATTTCTATATTATACAAGAAAAATTTCAGGAAACAATCGTATTTCAAAAGAAATTCAATATATGGAGAAAAATATTCTCACTATTTCAGACAAATCTATCCGACAGTAGATCAAATTATAATAAAATTCGCCAACCATGAAAGTAATGATCTTATTTTTTTTCTTCAATTCACTCGTCTGACTCTGTTCCATGAGAACAAATTCTGTACCATCTTATAAAATATGTATGTTTGATTTTATGATCAAATGACAACATAGATTTTAAACAAAAATAAATAACAATAGAAATCATTTAATCTTTGATAATTATAACCGAAAATATACTATTCATGTCTGTTATTTATTATTTGATATCAATAAAACAATCTTAACAAAAAACATTGCTCACAATTGTTATCTCGATTTTGTTATTTTTTAATGAATATCATTTTTTTTCGTTTTTTTCTTCCAACACGTAATTACAACATCATGTAAAGTCTAAGACACAAAACAAATATTCACTCCTTTAATGATAAGATAAAGAAAAATATATATAACCAAGATGCAAGTCTACAGCACGCATTTTAATAACAGTCCACAATGGCAAATCAAAATTCTGCCAACTTCCTTACATTACCGGTAGAACTTGTCTACCGTATTCTGGATTGTGAATCGGATTTCACAATCATATGCTCAATGAGAAACGTATGTCAACGATTGAACATGATCATAGATAGTTATGAGCGATATCAGGTAAAAATTTTTCTATCATAATATTCATAAGTTTTATCTATTGACTCCAATACAACATAAGTGAATAAACTAATTCTCACTCAAAATAATTCACCGCTCATCCCTTTCTCCTGAAAAATTCCGTTTTTACCTTCTTTTCAATTTTATCTAAATATTTTGCGTCTCAAACTAGATATGATTTCATAAATATACAGTGTTTAGATAAGAACGAGAAAAAAAAATAAATAAAATATTAATATTAACTTTTTTTACATGTATCTAAGCGCCTTTTATTTAAATACCATTTCGATCAAAAAAATCAGCTTTCGAAAGAAATAACGGCAGATATAATAGTTTATCTTTTTATAAATAAAGTCTTAGATATTTCCTTGAAAAATGCCTCTGACAAATACTCCTTTAAGAAGATACGTGACTGTTGGTACAGGTGATAGTGGATATAAATGAGAAGAAATATTACTTCTAAAGTAATCTTTTTTTCCAAACTAATTGCTCCAAAACAGATTTCATCTGAAGCACGCTTTCGCAAGGACGAAATTTTCAGAATAATTCGTCAGCGATATTTTTTATACGATATTTCAGCATGCGTTCTTCCTCTACTCAAAATAAATTTAACGTTACAGAATAAATCAATGTTGCTTCTTGAATACAACCCGATGGTGGTATCGAAAACCACTATCGAAATCAATATATATTCACACTTATGTAAATCATGCACATCAGTAAGACACAGTTCGATAGCCCATACATGATTTTGATACAAAACACATATCGAGTCGGAATAATGGACCTAAAAGAAAACTGTCCGCTAACTACTGATAAGAAAATATCTTCTGTCATACCTACAGAATACTAGCAAGTGCTGCACTATACTTTATTTTACTACGCCCCAAACCATTTACTACAGCACATTGCTAATTAAGCACATAATACTGATCTACACAATTGTTTTCTGCAGGAATGACGTACGAACTATTTTCAATTGTCCAAAAAATTTTCTTTGTTTGAGAAACATTTAGTAGTTATAGCAACTTAGGGATAAAACGTTTCTATTCATAGTTCACGCTTGGTAACTTCTTTTCAGTACAGATTTTCACAAAGCATTCTCACATACATTGCAGCATATAAAATCTTTAAAATAATCATATGAATATCCATAAGCCCTAAAAAACGGTATAAACAACATTTATTTCACTGATCTAACTCGATGTAACGCCGACTAACTATTCTTTCTCTTTATCTGTATTGTGCCTTTACCTGTAATTTTTCATCTAGACACTCACCACACTAGATCTCCGATTTGAGAGAATCGGAGATACTGAAGCACAATCGTTGGCTGATGCATTACAACACAACACAGTAACGCTTATTCACTCTTTATCAATAACATATATTTACCTT